TGTAGTTAAAATAGATGTAGATATGAATGTAAAACAACATTATCCTTCTCTTTGTCGGAGGAGAAGAGATCTGTTTTTCCAAGAGACATACACTCTGATCTCCCATCAGAAGATGCCTTTGATTTATCACCGGCTTGGAACCCTGCTGTAGCATGCTGTTACCCTCTCTGCAGCATTCATATGAACACGCTGCCATTTTGCAAAGCATCGTGCAATGTGATGCTTTCTCCTGTGACTTTCACATGCTTCTCAATGACACTCACGGTACAGACGAGAAATATGTGAAGACCCCTCGCTTGCTTTGAGTCACGCGCTTTGTTGCTTAGAAAAGGCTCAGCCTCCTGAGGGCCCAAGTACCAGTTCCAATTCCTCCTTTCCTGAGTCTGTTAACATAAATCACACAGCCCCAAACTTCTCAGCTTTCGTAAATGGCAGGCCTGATTCACGCATGATTTATCAATTAGAGCTGTGGGCCATTAGGATAGATTTCTCAGTCTTCAGGTAGACTTCAGTGGGTTGTATAGTGTTGGTTTAGAGTTTCTTAAGAAGCTCAGTAGTTGACAACCCAAACAATACAACTTCCGTTTGCCCCTGTGGAAGGCTTTTTGGTTTTAGGTGAGGTTTTTTTTTTTTCTTAGAATTTCTTCTCCTTTTGAGCTTTGTCTTGCGGGGTGGGGCATTTACTTGTAAGCAAGAGTAGTCAGGAGTTCTCAAAGCCACTCTCTCTCTGGAAAGAGTATTCCAAGCTGCTGCAGATGCATGGGTAGCAGTTCCTTGTGACAGTCCAGCAGAAGAAACAACTCGGAACCTCAGCTGCTGCCCCTTTGATTACTGGGAAGACCACGACCCTCTGCAGACCCTGGATTGAGCTGCCCTTCCTTCATTCTTACCAGCAAAGACGCCTGTATCTGCAAGCATGCTGCTCCTGAAGGAGGAGGAGAATTTATGACTCTGTCACCTCTGGACAACTTCCCTGTGGAACCTCTCCCAGGACAGGCTAGATTCTGACGGCTGATGCCCAAAAACAAAAGCTAATCAACATCTCTGAGTAAGCTGTGAGAAGCTCCAGTGGTTCACGGATGAGGAATGAATTGATGGGGGCAACGGCAGGGCTGCGCAGAATGACATGCTTCAAGACGTGATGGCTTGGCTTTAGGAGATGGAGATATGTTCTTAGGATTTGTAAGGTTGGGCTTCAGAAGACTCCTTGGAAATAGTGAGGAGAAATGACTTCCTTTTCTAAGATTTTAATAAAGTGTGAGGATACAAGGTCTCGTCACCCACCCCAGTACCATTCTCTCTATGTGGTTTGCGGTCACATGCACATGGCTCAAGTGTGTGTTCAAGCGGTCTCCTCCTTTCACTGGACCAGAAGACCATGCATCGCTGTCAGGTCATGTGTCCTGCCACATGGTAATGGTCTTGGCCTTCTCCTCCCCAGCCTGGGTCAATTCTGATTTAAAGAGGAAACATTCTTGAGTTAAACATATGCTTAGTTGTGTTGGACTTTTAGCCTTCTTCTTCAAATTAAAAGAGATAATTTTAAATAATTAGAAAGTTCTGGAGTCTGGGGAGGAAGGAGGCCAGGCCATTCTGCCTGACCATAAGTGATTACTGGACCCTTAGGAAATCCTGTGTCTGAATGTGTTTGTGATGACGTTGTTTGGGCCGTCACAGACAGAGAAACCTGTCCCGCTTCCTCTCCATCCTATCTGTATTCCCAAGTTGTTATTGTAAACCAGGTTGGCCGCTACCTATGGTTAAGCTAGCAGGGAGAGCCATTCAGAGTGAAGCATTCCCGACAGAGACGTGTTGCTCCTGGCCTGGGGTACTTAGAGCAGTAGACCCCTGAAGCAGCCAATTTGGTAGTGTCTTTTAATTCACAGTATTGTATTAACTTCAGCGTGGATCCAGATGGATGCTCTGTAATAAACTGTAACCACTGGAGAAAAGCCTTTATTGACTCTCAAGTAAATAATGCACTTTTTAAAGGATCTAAATATGCATTTACATAATGCACCATAATTTTTTATTGTGTCAACTATTCACACACACACATCCATAAGAGATGTTTCTCTTCATCAAAAATTTGGACTCATAACCCTCTGTGCTCTCCATCAACACCGCGGCAGCTTCGTCGTGTCAGTTTTTCTCTACAGCTTGCTCCAGCCATCCCAAAGAACATTTAATGACTTAACTGATTGATTTAGCTCCAGTGACTCCTTCTAAAATGATTTGAAACAACTTAGATACAAACTTAGGTATACTTACAACATCAAACCCAAGATAAAAGGGAAGGAAAAAAAAAGTAGAGAGGAGAAAAGAAGAAAAGACGTTGATTAAATCTTAGTTCTGGACTTCTCGGGGCCTCGGTGTCCAGAAGAAGATGAACATTATCCAGAGAAACACCAGGGATCCAATAATAATCAGCAGATCTTTGTGGCATCTATAGCAGGTTTCTGTCTGAGGAAACTAAAGGTCATGGCCTCGAGCCAGCTTGCTCCCATCTCTACATTGAACTGATGACTCTGTCCCCAGCAAGAGAAAAGAGGCTTAAGGAGGACAACCCTGGAAGTGCAGACTCAGCAGAAGTCTGATTTAGAACCTCGGGCCAGATGACTTCCTGGAATTAATTAAGAATTAATTGGTCCTAATCAATCAGTCATTATAGAATTAATTCTATACAGTACCATAGACTTGCACTGAATTCTGCACCATAAGGAAAAGATGAATAAATTGCTATCGCTAAAATGTAATAAAGAAATTAAAGTCTGAATTTACGCGGCTGCGGATTTTCTTTAATAAAAGAAGTTCAGTGATGTTTATTAACAATTCACAGGGAGAGTGCATGGTACTGGTGAATTATTTCTTTAACTTTTATCTACTTAATCTTTAGTGGAGGCAGTGCTTTACCTTGGGCAGTGGACTCTTGTTGTCCACCACCGCCCCTTATCTAAAAGCCACTCAGCACTTCCTGTGAGAACCTGAGGGATGCCACTTTAGCGTCAAGGTCAGTCTCAGGGGCTCTTAGCAATGGGGTCATCACCTTCGTGTTTGACTTGCTGCGGCAGTTGAACCTATAATGTTTTTCAGCTCACTACATTCCTGTCCTCATTTGAGAAATAAAACCTACAATGCTAACTAGAAATGATTCTGTCAAAAACAGGGATCTGGTCAATGTTTCTTATACCATTAGAGACAACTACATCATGCTAGAAGAAATAAAAAGAGTCCTTTCGTTCTCTAAATCCAGTAGCACAATTTCCAGGGAAAGAACAATCCAGGAGCATTTAACTCTTTAGCTTCTCAGTGTTCACTCCGAGATTCTAATGGACTCCAAGATTTATATTTCATTGTAGGTAGTGGTAACTCACAACTGTTTTCCTCCATGTTTGCTGGCTCTTCATCAGGGTACAAAAACATATTTTGTCCCTTGGAAAGTTTTATGGTTAGTTTTCTTATTTTTCATACTCCTTTATTCAGACACTTAGTGTGCAGCCAGCAAATATTTATCAAGTGCCATACTCAGTTCCGAGTGAGCGACTAAGTGGAGAGTAAATGGGAGAGGGGGAGTGTGGAAAATTCTGATTTCAATAGATTACGTTTGTGATGTCCTCAGTTGTATGATTAAGGGCAAAAACAAAATTTCTGGTTTAGCCCAACGTTGTCTCTTGAAACCGTGATGAGAACCTCTGAACTTTTACTGAATGAATTCAAGTGGCCTGAAACCGATGATTCTACCTGATTACCTGCAAGCCTGGGTTGGTGTCCTGCTTCTACTCTAGCCTGCATTTCTACTCTAGGAACTGTAAGGGTTGCTCTGGCCCACAAAGCCCTACCCTTTAGGTTATTATAAAAAAAAATACCCCGATTCTCAGGAGACCCCAGTATCAGTAGGCGTGCATTCCTAACCACTCCAGAGGTATGGTGGGAAAAAGGAGAGGCCTGCTGAACTTTGGATTCTCTTCAATAGTACGAATTTTTCTTCGTGTTCAGAAAGTCATATTGTCTAAAACTGTGGGCACTTCTGTGTTTGTCTTTGTAGGAAACCCTTCAGTTTAAAGATTTAAACTATAAAAGGAAGGGACCGGGGAGGCATATGTACCCCTTATCGGGAGTCTTTTCTGATTGGGCTTGCTCTAAGTGTTATCAGACCCCCCACTTATCCTCTGGCAGGTCTTGGCCATCCTCTCTCCAATTTAAGGACAAAAGCATTCCTGGAAAAATTATTAAGATCTCACATAAGCTTTTTTTATCTACTGTAATCTTGTACAAATGATATTTATCAGGGTTCAAATATAAAGGAGTCATTGTCTGAATCTCTTATCAGATTTATGGCAGAGAAGCAACCTTTCACGGAGTTCCTGCCTACTCAGCCTGTAGCTGCTTTAGCTTTGAAAGGGCAACAGAGAAAAATGCAACATGAACCTTCCACCGTAAAGTGAGGCACCCAAATTGCATGGGTTCATTAAGTGATCATTTACTACAGACTTCAAAAAACTCCAGTCCTGAATTAGTCCCTAGAAATTTCCTTGAAAGGAGTGTAAGAGCTTTAACAATGAATTATTATCTATGGGTAGCTCGGCATGAAAGGGGATCCATATGTGCAAAGTAGAATTTGTCAAATGTAATGTCGGTTAAATCAGGTCTAATCTACCAAATACATTTTTTATTGCTTGCTTCATTAAAAAGGCTCTTAAGGTAATGAATAATCTTCATCTTCAACAAGGATTATTAATGCCTTTATAACTCACGTCCACTGAACATAGAGAGGCAACGTGAAATTCTATCCTACGCTAACCTCCATGTTTGTCTTAGAGCCTTAGAGGAGAAAATCCATCAGAACTGTCCAGGGCTACATCCTGTCACATGAGCAGCCCTGTGAATTGAGCCCGGAGAAGAAATGAAAAAAAAATAAAAATAAAAAAAGAGGCCGTTGGTTCAGCTGTGCGAAGCAGCATTCCCCAAAACCCTGATGTGTCTTGTTTTGTTTCCTGCAGCGAGTCCACATGCGACGCCGTCGACGCTCCACTTCCCAACATCACCCATCATCCAACAGCCTGGGCCTTATTTCTCACACCCAGCCATCCGCTACCATCCTCAGGAGACGCTGAAAGAGTTTGTCCAGCTTGTCTGTCCTGATGCTGGCCAGCAAGCTGGACAGGTGGGCTTCCTCAATGTAAGGAAACCTTTTTTTCCCCCCGTATTTCTCTAGAAATGCTAACCAGATGTAAAAATAATAAGGAGACCGTGTATGACCACGTGGTTTTGTGTTCTAATGCCATGCTGACTGACTACGGGCCAACGTCATATTTATTCTAGATTATGGGAAAGTTAACTCGCTGTAAGAGTGATTGGCCAGGGTTTAAAAACCGTGTTTGTGTTAAGTTTGCAGCTGTCAAGGTTATGGATATAAATTGTCTGGAGAGGGAACCGTGTAACCTTTGAGTTCCACCTCCAGCATTCTAGCCCCAGGGTCATACAGTTAGCTAAATAGAAAGACCGAATAATTTTCAGTCATGTTTTGGGGTAGTAGAGAGAGGAAGGGAGCAAACTGAGGCAGATGTTTCAGATCAACCAAGGTGATTTTTTTTTGAAAAAAAAATACAGTCTTCTAACACTTTAGATCCAGTTGACCAGTACTTGAACTCAAGATGCTAGAAGCAAAGTTTATTATGGCTTGTTATTTCTATGAGTAGTTATCTTCTCCACTTATCTTCATATAAAACCGAGCCACGTTCAATAATTACAAATGAATGTTTTCATTTTTCTCAAATAAACCAAATAATCACAATTTGAAATAACATTCCAATAGTAAACGTTATTTTATAAAATCGCAAATTTTATTACAAATATAAAGCTATATGTTTACAACGAATAACTGAATCCCGAGGCCAATAGCAATAATAATAATAAACTAAGACCAGCAGAAAGCCATATTTGATTTCCTCTTCTCATAATATCTATGCTTGCAGCCACAGATTAGCCGTAATTCTTATTGCCTGGTTTAGGATGCTGTGTCGCATTGCTCTGTCGTTGGTTTCTCTCCCCTGCAGAAAGACCTGATTCTGCAGATTTGAGCCAGCATGGCAGCTTTGACTAATGTCTGGCGATCTGTTCACAGATACATTTCTGTCTAGACAACAAATCGATATGGTGCCTTTTTTTTTCATTTCGCTTGTGTATTCATTTGCTTCGCTTATTCTAAAATATTCACGTGTGAACTTTGAGTCCACACAGAAATTATACACAGGCAAGGATGCTAGTGAGTGTGCATAGTTTTCTGCTCATCAGACAGCATCCGGGGAAACACAGGCAAGGATGCTACCTAGTGAATGTGCACAGCCTTCTGCTTATCAGACAGCATCCAGGAAAACATACTGCAAATACTGCGAATGCCGATGGAGGAGTAAGCCTACCTCTGCAGAATTACTAAATTTATTCTTCAAAGCCCAGGACAATAGGCTCTCCTTCAACTAAATTTTGGTTTGGACCTGCTGACTACATACAGGCTGTAACTCGTTAATGAAAAGTCACTTGGGAAATCATGAAAACCTGAACTGGTCACTGGTACCAACTCTGACTTCTGAACATTCAATGTGTTCTCTTTAATGTCATGACATAATTTTCTGTAACTGCCAAATGCCCTGTTTTGTGTTTTGACCAGAATTTTATGGGGTTTGAGGAAAGTCTCTCCATAAGACTTTTTCAAAGACTTTGAAAAGAAGTGTCACGTGTTCTCTTGTGAGGGAAACTTGGCTGTGCTAGGAGCTGTTCTGTGACTGTTCTAACACCAGGCAGCCAGAAAAGGACAAGTTCCATGGCATTCGCTGGTATAAGTCAAATCAGAAGTGGTATTTTTGCCTAATAGAAATCTGATAGCCAAATATTAAAGTTTTTGTGCCTAATTCTATATGATATGTGAAAGAAAATATCTATGTTCTTTGAATACAGGTTTTAACTGTCTTAGATCAACTTTAAGAAATGAAAATGAAAAATATCGTTATATATATATGTATATAAATATATATATTTATATTATAAATATAAATATATTACAGTGATCATCGTTTTACCTATATAAATGCCCATGGAGGAATAACACCTCAGTCTAATAAGCATGTAGATATTAAACAAGTATTTTGTATTCATTTTGTAAACGTTTTGAAATTGTTGGTGGAAGCAGCAGCTGAAACAGCACCAAGCAAGAACTGGTTATTCAGGGACGGACAGGTCTAAAGTGCTCCTAGGCGCGACCCTCTGGGGAACAAAAGATCACTGTGCTTCCAACAGCCTGAATGTTTGTGATGTGCATGACAGGCACCTAACGAGTCTTGCTTTGCAGGAGGAGCTAATAGCTGACATCCGTTTATTCTTCTCCTTGTGTGTGTTTTCTCTGAACCCTTGCAGCCCAATGGGAGCAGTCAAGGCAAGGTACACAACCCATTCCTCCCCACCCCAATGTTGCCGCCGCCGCCACCACCACCAATGGCCAGGCCTGTGCCTCTGCCCATGCCAGACACCAAGCCTCCAACCACATCAACAGAAGGAGGTGCAGCCTCCCCCACCTCACCGAGTAAGTATGACTGAGACAAAGCGCCAGTTACATACCATGCTTTGTGCCCCTGAGTTCACACTTAAGCCCTGTCCCTTGCTGTGCAGGCTTCAGCAATAGGCACAGATCCCACCGCTTTATCTATAACATGAGCTGGCAGAGCCCAGATCCAAGTCACAGTGAATACCACTCCCATCTGCTGTCAAACTACACCAGATATGGAGATGATTGGGTGCAGGTGGTAGATTTAGATGCTGTAGCTACATACTGAGTACTGGGAGCAAGGGAAAACCTAGTGAAGTTTGTGTATTGCTGGGCTGGTTTACACAGAATACTATTTCCATTATGTCCTCAAAGCATCTGCTTGTGCATATTCTTAATAGCAAAAGGATTGGTTATCCCTAGAAACGTGATGAGAGATAAAAGTTCTATGCCTTATACATGAGCTAGGAAATTGTCTAGATCAGCGTGTCCATGCAAAGGTGTGTGCATTGAACACTGCTAAGAGTAAGAAGGGCCTGATAAAAAGTCAGAGCTGGATGCCATGGTAGCCACATGAGGAGGCTTGGGAAGGAGTAGGAATGGAGAGAAAGAACCTTGTGACTCTTCTCTCAACAGTCTGGGAACAGTTGATCATAAGTTAGAGGATTCTGACATCTCTTTGTATGGTGGGAATGATTGTTTGATGAATTCCACAGTGAGCAATTCTCCAGATATTTCTTGGTGTTTTTGGAGATGGAAGGGCTCTAAAAGGTACAAACACACAAATATAGCCTCTATTCGTGTCTGCAGTGATGGCAGAAAGAGTAGTGGCTGGAGCTGCCAGGGGACCTGGTCGCCTGGCTTTGAAAGGTGGTGTGATGGGCCCGTCCTCAATCCTTTAGAGAAGCTGAAAGTGTAGGGATGGGGGTAGTGGCAGTGCCCCGGGGAGAGCCCAGGGGTGGTGGCAGGGTGCCTCTGATGGAAGAGGAAATGAGGAAAAGATGGAAGAGCAGTCAGGAAGAGAAGTGGAAAGGTCAGGAACCTGAAGAACGGTTGAATGAAAGGGAACAGGTGGAGGGGTGTTTTGCAAACATAAACAAGCGTTTAAATAAGAAGGCCTCTTGGCTTTCTTCCCTTCAATATTGTAATTAATGACATTGGATACAGAAGAGAAAGAACCAAAAAAGAAAGACAGTCCTTCGCTTAGACCATAGTCGCTGAAATTGGTTCTGGGAACATTGAATATAAAGTGACTTTGCATCCCTTGCACATAGATCAGAGAGTGAACTTTGTATTATCTAGTATTTCTTTGGGTAAATAGATGACATTGCGCATAAATTCTTTGGCAGAAGGACTGAAATCCAGGAACAGTTTGGGGAGATAGACCTATCTGGTAAGAGATGGGTCAGTCTTATGCTCATCAGCAAAGAGGAGAACCAGTATCTGTTAGCGTGTGAAGGAAGCTGCTTAACGGTGAGCCGTTGGCACATCTCAGAAGCAAGCTGGGAATGAGGTAGAAAACTAGTGTTACTAATGGGTAAGAAGTTAAGAGGAAATTACACGTTTTAAAAATCACGTGCTTTCCTAGAAACTAAAATTGCAGAATGGTTCGGTCTGTTTGTCCTTAGCAGTTTGTTAGAGCTCACCTGCAGCAGGAAGCAGCATCAGGCAGGGTGTTATGTACAATGTTCAGCATCCCGGCAGTGCATCTAAAACTGAAGCTTGTCTCAAAGAACAGTGGCAGATACTTTTCTATTTAGGCGTTTGAGATTACTTGCAGTAAAATCAGATTTTTTTTTTTCAGTTAAAAAAACACAAAACAGGAAATCAAGCCAAAGGCCTCCTCTGTTACCAACTTTTGGGAGGCTTCAGCTCCCTCTCGATGGGAGTAGCATTAGCTCCTCTGCCCACTCACAGCAGGTCATCCAGGAGGGAGTAGGGTAATAGGCATGCTTTGTGGCCGACTAAAGGTCAAAGCAACATTTTTAATATCATCTAATAATGAAATACAAATGGATGCCAGCCTAAAGCGGAGTATGTGTTGCCTCTGGAACTAATACTAAACTTTTCAGTATGAGAAAGAAAAAAGAACAAGGCAGATCTGGAAAAAATTGCCTATAAAATAAATATATTTTAATGGGAAAAATCTGTCCCCATCCCCTTAAAAACCAGGGACGTGGGAGTGAGGATAAAGCTGTACTCTTTCCTAAAAAGGGCTTTGATATTTTTATATGTGTACAGAACCATTGCTTATACCATGCGCAGCTGTATAGAATGTGACAGATAGGATCCTTGACCTGTGGCAAAAGTTCACAGAGTGGGTTCCACTCTCACTGAGAATCTGGTGATGTGGGTTTCCATGCCCGCCGAATGAAAACCTCTTCTCCATTCATGTTATTGAATGTCAGCTGGGTGCCAAAAATCCTAAGTGCTAGACTTCTGCACCTAGAATAAGGGATAAAAGTGTTCTAAAAATCTTGATCTTATAAAGATTTTATTCCAAAGAGGAAGAGAGAGAGCAAACAACACAGTAAGTAGGAAATGCAGGTGACGTAAGACAGCAACCATCGTGCGTACACATCCATAAGGCGTTGATGGACAAGGGGCCGTAGGGCAGCATGCAAGTGCGGAACAAGACCTCTCAGCCCTTTGACATTAGAGAAAGGCCCTGGTGGGGTAGGACCTGATGCCTGGTAGGTAGAGGGATCATCCTGGTGTGAGTGAGGAAGTGGGGACAGAGGTGATGAGGATGGAGGAGGACCTTGGATGCAGGATGCTTGTTGGCCAGCATCAGGACCTGGACATTTCCTGCAAGCAAGACTGTAAGCAGAGTAATGCTTCCTAAAGCCTGCACGTTAGTAGAAAATTCTGGCGGGCTTTGTTGAAATAGGTTGCCAGGGGAGGAGCAAAAATGGGCCATGATGGATATAGTGGGTGTCGTTTACATGCCGGCCCCCATTCCAGACCGAAGAACTTTCATCATGAACCAAACACACGTGAGTTAGGAAGCGAGGGACCAGTAGATAAAATTGGGAGTATGGTGGGCATGCTATGGCAATCACCCAGGTGAGAGCTGTCCCTGTCCCTGCACTGACCTGGGGATGGGGTCCGTAGAAGCTGTGAGAAGCCCTCGGACTCCAGGCATATTCTAAAGAGAGTTAATATGCAGAGCCATTTGATGTGGATTGAGAAGAAGGAGAGAAATCAGACATGACCTATAGGGTTTTTAGCCTGGGCTCCTGAAAGGATGAAGACAGGAAGCTGATAGGAAAAGCCATTCTGAGTGAGAGGTGGGCACTAGATGTTTGAGTCCATTAGACCTCCCAGTGCTCAAACTAAGCAAAACTTCCTGCTGATAGCAACCCTGGGCAGGTTGTAGAGTATTTCAGGATGCATCATCTTTTTTATTATTATTTGCTTGTTTGTTTTTGAGGCATAGCTTTTCTGTGTAACAGCCCTGGCTGTTCTGGAACTTGAACTGTATACCAGACTGGCCTCAAACTCACAGAGATCCACCTGCCTCTGTCTCTGGGGTGCTGGGATTGAAGACATGTTTCACCACCACCTGGCCCATCATATTCTTAATAAATGACTTCGTTTCAAACATACAATATGACATGAGGTTTTTGAGATTCTGTGTATGGTAGCACATGTCTTCAATCCCAGCATTCTAGAGGTAGAGGCAGGTGGATCCCTGTGAGTTCAAGGCCACTCTGGTCTACATAGTGAGTTCCAGCCATCCAGAACTACATAATGAAATTTCCTCCACCCCCTAAAAGAGAGAGGAAAAAGAAAGAAAGAAAGAAAGAAAGAAAGAAAGAAAGAAAGAAAGAAGACAGAGAGAGAGAGAGAGAGAGAGAGAGAGAGTTTTCGATGAGTCCTGAGTATTATAGCTCCTCATGCCATAGGTTGGCACTAGCTCATCCCACAAAAATGGAATTTTCCATACTTTTTTTCTAAAGTAAAGATTGGCATCATAACATGGAATTAGAATGCAAAGGAGAAAGCGCTTTTAAATTATGGTGGGAGATAAAATATGCATATTTTCCTTTGTTAATTAATTAAAAATCAATTTAAGGTGCATAAAAAAGCGCATAATAAACATTTTTCTCCTCCATTCCTTCTTAGTTATGAACTTTTGATTTTTTAAACTAAAATTCTATTAAAGTAGAAGCATGTAATAGCAAGTAACATTTATTGTTTATTTTTATGTCTCCAGTGAATCTTGTATCTGTTTCATTCTGTAAATGAATATGCACCTATAACCGAGAGCATAGCAATTATCTTCCACAAGCACGGAAGGGTTTAAACCTAACAGCACATGTTCGATGCCTTTTGGTGAACCAGAGCTCTTTCCCCACGTGTGTTAGCTTCCTACCACTCCTTTGAGGTCAGTATTTTATAGACAAGACAACTGAAATGGGAAAATTAAGGTTACCTTGTCCAGTACTATGTTCTGATGGTAGAATGGTGGGACTCCCATGTTCTTTCTGCTACCGCAGACTGTATGTATGCATGTATGTAGTATGTATGTATGTATTTATGTATGTACGTATGTATTTTAATCAGGGTTTCTATTGCTGTAATAGGACACCATGAACAAAAGCAACTTGGAGAAGAAGGGGTTTATTTCAGCTTATAGTTCCACATCACAGTTCATCATAGAAGGAAGTCAGGGCAGGAAATTAGAGCAGGAACCCAGAGGTAAGGGCTGAAGCAGAGGCCATGCCAGAGCACTGTTTACTGGCTTACTCTTCATGGCTTGACCAGCCTGCTTTCTTATATAACTCTGAACCATTTGCCCAATGGGTAGTACCATTCACAAAGTGCTGGGTGCTCTTACATTAATCATCAATCAAAGAAATGCCCAATAGCCTCACCCATAGGCCAATCTGGTAGGGGTTTCTCTCATTGGAGGTTCCGTCTTCTCAGATGACCAGGCAGCTTAGGGAGAGGTGCTTGAGAGGGGTTGCCTCACCCTCACAAGAGCCGAGCTCTCAGCGGGGCGCAGGTACTTTAAGAATCCTTTTACATGAAGG